TGGATCCATCCAAAGTTTATTTTAGTGTAATGAAAGAGACAGGAATCCAACTCTGATTCTCCACCCCAACAATTATTAGTCAACTGCCTAGGACTATCTACTGAATAATTATCTTTTTTCCATTGATCAGAAATGCTACCTATATCATAACCATATTGGCAGATACATACTGGGTCTATTTCTGGGTTCTCTATTCTGTTTCATTGATCTGTCTATTCACGTACCAATCCCAAACTGTTTTACTTATTGTATTCTTATGTTTTAATATCTGCCAGGACTTGTCCTCCCTCAATATAATTTTTTCTAAAATTTCTTGACTATTCTTGCGTGCTTTTTAAAATCTCTGTAAAGTCTATAATTACAGCTTGCCAAAATAATTACTAGTGTTAATATTTTTATCAAAATAGAATTAAATTCACAGATTAATTTAGGGATAACTGGTAACTAAAATCTTTAGTGTTCCCACTCATCTATTTAAGTCTTCTTTTATGCCCTTCGGTAATATTTTGAAGTTTTCCTCACCTACATATTGCACATTTCTTGATAAATTTATTTCTAGGTAACCTATCCTATTTGTTACAATAGTAAATGAGATCTTTTCTCCTGTTATATTTCCTAACTACTCGTATGGGTATAGAATATTAATTTTTACATGTTTCATTTTTATCCTGTTGCCTTACATTGTCTTTTTGTTTGTGGTAGTTTTTTCAGTTGATTTTCTTCAGTTTTCCAGTTGTACTATCTGCAAGTCATAGAATTCTGGCCCTTCCTTTTCAGTTTTTATAGCTCATATCTTTTTGTTTAACTGCATTGCCTAATAGCTTCAGAAAAATGTTAAAACAGTGGTCATTTCTGTATTATCCTGGTATTAATGGGAATGCTTCCAGTGTTCCCAAATAAGCATTATTCAGTCTTCTTGCTTGAGGTATATGTGTTATGTTAGAGAAGTATCCACTATCCCAACTTTAATCAGGAATGTTTACTGAATATTATGAAATGCTTTTTTCAGCATTTATAAAGATAATCATAGACTTTTTTGGAACTACTAAAACAGAGAATTTCCTAATATTGAACCACGGTTGCAACTAGAATCCAGTAACACATTAAAAAACAAACACATGTAAGTGAAATTCATACCAAAAATGCTAATATTTTACTTAGCATTTTGTATCAATATTCATAAGTGAGAATAGTCTATAGCAGCAGCCAGCAATTTTTTCCTGTAAAGGGCCAAATAGTAAACATTTTAGGTTTTGGCCTCCAAGAAGATGAAACACTTAGGAATAAATATAATCAGAAACGTAAAGAACCTATACAATGAAAATTACAAGACACTGCTGCAAGAAACCAGAAGAGACCTGTGTAAGTGGAAAAACATACCTTGTTCATGGACAGGAAGACTCAACATTGTGAAAATGTCAGTTCTACCCAAAACGATCTACACATACAATGCAATCTCGATCCAAATCCCAATGGCATTTTTTAAAGAGATGGAGAAACAAATCACCAACTTCATATGGAAAGGGAAGAGGCCCCGGATAAGTAACGCATTACTCAAGAAGAAGAACAAAGCGGGAGGCCTCACACTACCTGATTTTAGAACCTATTATACTGCCACGGTAGTCAAACAGCCTGGTACTGGTACAACAACAGATACATAGACCAATGGAAGAGAATTGAGAATCCAGACATAAATTCATCCACCTATGAGCAGCTGATATTTGACAAAGGCCCAAAGTCCATTAATTGGGGAAAAGACAGTCTCTTTAACAAATGGTACTGGCGCAACTGGATATCCGCCTGCAAAAAACCGAAACAAGACCCATACCTCACACCATGCACAAAAACTAACTTAAAATGGATCAAAGACCTAAATATAAAATCTAACACAATAAAGATCATGGAAGGAAAAACAGGCACAATGCCAGGAACCCTAATACATGGCGTAAACAGAATACAAACCCTAAGTAACAATGCAGAAACAACAAAGAGAAATTAGATAACTGGGAGCTCCTAAAAATCAAACAATTAAGCTCATCAAAAGACTTCACCAAAAGAATAAAAAGACAACCTACAGACCAGGAAAAAATTTTTGGCTACAACTAATCCGATCAGCGTCTAATCTCTAAAATCTATAAGATACTGCAAAACCTCAACAACAAAAAGACAAATAACCCAATTAAAAAACGGGCAAAGGATATGAACAGGCACTTCACCAAAGAAAACATTCAGGCGGCTAACGGATACATGAGGAAACACTCATGATCATTAGCTATTAGAGAAATGCAAATCAAAAATACAATGAGATACCATCTCACCCCAACAAGGCTAGCATTAATCCAAAAAACACAAAATAATAAATGTTGGAGAGGTTGTGGAGAAACTGGAACACTTATACACTGCTGGTGGGAATGCAAAATGGCACAACCACTTTGGAAACTGATTTGGCGTTTCCTTAAAAAGCTAGAAATAGAAGTAGCATACGATCCAGCAATTCTGCTCCTTGGAATATATCCTAGAGAATTAAGAGCCATCACACGAATAGATACATCCACACCCATGTTCACTGCAGCACTGTTCAAGATAGCAAAAAGATGAAAACAACCTAGGTGCCCATCAGTGGACAAATGGATAAACAAATTATGGTATATTCACACAATGGAATACCATGCAATGATAAAGAAGAACAATGAAGCCATGAAACATAACATTGAGGAATCTGGATGGCATTATGCTGCGTAAATTTAGTCAGCTGTAAAAGGATGAATATTATATTATATGAGACCACTATTATAAGAACACAAGAAAAGGTTTAAACAAAGAAGAAAATATTCCTTGATGGTTACAAGTGTGGGGAGGGAGGGAAAATATTCACTAACTAGACAGTAGACAAGAATTATCTTAGGTGAAGAGAAGGAAAGCACACACTACAGGGGAAGTCAGCACAAATGGACTAAACCAAAAGCTAAGAAGTTTCCTGAATACAACCAAACACTTTGAGGGACAGAGTAGCAGGGGTGGGGGTCTGGGGACCATGCTTTCAGGGGACATCTAGGTCAACTGGCATAACAAAGTTTATTAAGAAATGTTCTGCATCCTACTTCGGTGAGTGGTGTCTGGGATCTTAAAAGCTAGTAAGCAGCCATCTAAGATGCATCAAATGGTCCCAACTCACCTGGAGCAAAGGAGAATGAAGAACACCAAAGATACAAGGAAAGTATTAGTCCACGAGACAGAAAGGGCCACATAAACCAGAGACTTCATCAGCCTGAGACCAGAACTAGATGGTGCCCGGCTACCACCAATGACTGCCCTGATAGGAAACACAACAGAGAGTTCCTGATGGAGCAGGAGAAAAGTGGGGTGCAGAACTCAAATTCTAGTAAAAAGAACAGACTTAATGGTTTGATTGAGACTGTAGGGACCCCGGAAGACAGGGCCCCCAGACTGTCTGTTGGCCCAAAACTAAAACCATTCCCAAGGCCAACTCTCCAGACAAAGATTAGACTGGACTATGGGACGTAAAATGATACTCGTGAAGAGCATGCGTCTTAGCTCAAGTAGATACATGAGACTAAATGGGAAGCTCCTGTCCAAAGGCGAGATGAGAAGGTCAGGAACTGGTTGAACGGACACGGGAAATCCAGGGTGGAAAGGAGGAGTGTGCTGTCACGGTATAGGGAGAGCAACTAGGGTCACATAACAACTTATGTAGAAACTTTTGTATGAGGGACTAACTTGAATTGTAAACTTTTACTTAAAGCACTATATATATACACACATATATATATATATTAGGCTTCATAAGCCACATACAGTTGTTAATTGCCATCGAGGTGGCTCTAACTCATGACAATCTTATGCATAACAGAACGAAACATTGTCCAGTCCTGTGCCATCTTCATGATTTTGGTATGTTTGAGCCCATTGTTGTGACTATTGTGTCAATGTATAACATTGAGGGTTTTCCTCGATTTCACTGACCCTCTACTTTCCCAAACATAATGTCCTTTCCTAGGGATTGGTCTTTCCTGATGATGTGTTCAAAGTAAGCAAGACAAAATTTCACCATCCTCATTTCTAAGGAGGATTCTGGTTTTACCTCTTCTAAGAATGATATGTTCATTCTTTTGGCAGTTCATGGTATATTCAATATTCTTTGTCAACACCACAATCCAAATGCATCAATTCTTCTTTTGTCTTCTTTTTTCATGGTCCTGATTTCCCAAGCATATGAGGCAATTGAAAAAACCATGGCTGGGCTAAGGCACGCCTTTGTCATCAAAGTGTCATCTTTGCTTTTTAGAATTGTAAAGAGGTCTTTTGCAGCAGATTTACCCAATGCAATACATCATTTGATCTCCTGACTACAGCTTCCACAGGGGAGCCCCGGTGGTGTGGTGGTTAAGAGCTTGGCTGCTAACCAAAAAGTTGGCAGTTCAATCCACCAGCTGCTCCTTAGAAACCCTATGGTGCAGTTCTACTCTGTCCTATAGGGCCACTGTGAGTCAGAAATGACTCCACGGCACCTAACAATAACAACAACAACAGCTTCCATGGGCACTGATTATTGATCCAAGTAGAACAAAATCTCTGACAACTTCAATTTCTTCTCCATTTATCATGATGCTGCTTACTGATCAATCTCTTTCTTTTTTTCAACAACAACAAAAAAAACTTTTAAAAATGCAAATGCTGTTCTTAGCTCATGAGCCATACAAAAACAGGCTGTGGACCTGCACTGGCTTCATAAAAATAATGAAATCTTAAATTTATCCATTCTTTGATAAAAATATTTCTTGGAAACGTAACTTCATATTAGTGAAAAGGTGCTCAAGGGGATTGAGTAAGCCCAAGCTGTAGCCTTTCCAGTAATATTTCTCACCAAATTTTGCCCCAAAGTAAAATTTGCCTCAACTGTGAAAAGTGAGTAGCCCTCCATAAGAAATAAGACAGAAGCAGAGATCTTGAAGACACACCCACAAGAGAACTATACCTACCTCCACACCTCCAAGCCGGACTGCAGACCTTTCTCGATAGGTGTTTAAGTACACGTCCACCAGGGTGGTTAGGTCAGACATCATCTCATCTAGGAGTACCAAGCGAAGCGGTAGCAGGTAGGTAGCTTCCAGGGCCAAAATTTTCAACAAAGTAGGTGAAAGAGGTCGTGTGAACCACACTTCTGGGTTTTCCTAGAGACACCAAAACAACTTTTTGTGAGTAGTAAGCAAAATTTTAAATTGTCTATTCAAGTGCTGTTTAATTTAAAATGCTGTCATTTTCTTCAGTTATTAACTTCTACTTTCACACTATAGCTAGCCTTCTGAGAACATCCACACAGATATTCATTGTGTGTGTGTGTCTGTAAGAGACGGAGAGAGACAGACAGACATAGATATCAGGACTTCCTGTTCAAAGTTGAAGGCAGTACATTTGATTATACGACCAATTGTAGCTAATACGGTCACGATCAAAGTTTGCATGCAAGGCTATTACTACTAGTATCTCTTAGTAGCTAAAACAAATCTTCTACGTTACTTTGGGAGAAGCAACTGGGATGATTTGGGCTTTATCCCCTTAATCCAAGGTCACATGAAAATTCCTCCTTGTCCCAACCTGAAAATTTATTTCAGAGTACTTTTTAACTGATAACCAACGAATCTGGATCCTGGCTTTTATCTACTTGAACCACAAACAAATTGTTCCCATTTGGAACAACTACCGTTTTGGCAATGCTCATACTCTTACATGGCAGCTGGTCATTATAATAGGTTGATAATCCTGCTGAGAAAACGTGTGGAAAAGGTAATGTCATATGGGGACTTCCTTTAACACTCACCTGGGTCAGTTTTTGCCTCTCTTCTAGAAAGGACACAAATTTAGGAGCTACTTTCAGGTGTCTGATTAAACTCTCCTGCAAAGTACTGATGCAGTTTGGAAGAAAGCCACCGGTTTCCGTAGAAAATTGAAGGACATCTGCAACCTGTGCGTTAAAAAAAAGACAAACAAGCTAGTCCATAGACTCTACACAGAAAGCTATCATGGCAGAAATAGCATAATTAGATACAGAGAATTTCTTTAAATACCATTTTTCCCAAATAACAGGCAATGCCATCAGGAAATTTAAAGTTATCCCGTCAACTTCTTATTCTTAAAAATTAAAAAAAAGAAAAACATTAGCCAACATTAATGTATCCTCATCTACTTTCTTTTCTATTTCTTTTATTTGCCTACCTTATGGTTATTGTGCTACTCTTCGGTATCTTTGGCAAGAGGGGAAAGGAAGATAAAATTCAAGAATTATTTTGATTACCTATTAGCAACTCCAGTAAAGTTTGGTAAGTGTTTTACGCTGGGTTCTCTAGAGGAGTAAAACCAGTGAAGTGTATAGATAAAAATATATATAGAGAGAGATTTATTTCAAGGAAACGGCTCATGCAGTTGTGCAGGCTGGCAAGTTCCAAAATCTGTGGGTCAGGCATCAGGACAGAGACTTCTCCTGACTCATATGGTTGCAGGGGCTGACGAACCCAAAATTGGCAGGTTAGACAGCAGGCTGCTGGCTCACGGGGCTGCAGAAGCTGGCAAATTCCAAAATCTGCAGGTCAGAAGGCAGGCTGCTGGCTCAAACCCCAAGAACCAGAGGTCAGAGGATGACGAATCAGATGCAGGATTCAGAGAGGGTGAGCTTTGCCAGAACATCCATATATATTGGATGCAGGCCACATCCCCAAGGAAACTCTCCTTTCAACTAACTGCTGCTCACATCAGATCACAAAATGGAAGATTACATAATATCTGCCAAACCAATCATGGCCTAGCCAAGTTGACACATAACCTTAATAATCACAGTCAACCCCTTGCCAACTTGGCACATGTACACATCTCCTTAAACCATACATAATCTCTAAAGTCATACTTGTGCCTAAAGTGATACAACTAACACGCGTACAACCGAAAATACACTAGCCCCGTTTACGTCTTATATTTTATAAGTAACAGAATTAAGGGAGGAAAGAAAACAAAGATATTTGTGTTTTTTTATACATATGTATATGTATGTATGTACGTATGTGTATATATATATATGAGTGTGTGTGTATGTATACATAAAATGCACACATACACATATAACAAAACAAGGAAGAAATACTAAAAACAATTACAGTCCTCGTTTCTGCAACTGGTCACATGGTTGTAGCTGGTATTTAGAACGACCTTCTTCCACCACTCATTCTGTATTGCCTTTGCCCTCAGCAAGCACCTCAGCTGGTTGTGGTTCTTTGCCTTGTGGGGTGACACAAACCTTCATTCCTGAAGGGTCTGGGCCATTAGTAGTCACATTGGAATTGAGTTGGCTGTAGTTGTCCACTGACTTTCATCACAGGGCATGGTAGTACTAAGAGACATCCTAAGGGATCTCCTGTATTCCAGACACACTCTTCTTTACCTCCATTATGTAATAGCAAGCCGATGTCCCCTTGGAAATCAGGATCAATCACACCAGCCAATACAGTAACTCCCTTCTTTGCCTGTTGCAAAGGCATGAGGAGCCCAAAGCGGCTGGGTGGCAGTATTTTTTTTTTTAATTATGCTTTAAGTGAAAGTTTATAATTCAAGTTAGTCTCTCATACAAAAATTTATTCACACATTGCTATGTGACCCTAGCTACTCTCCCTATAATGTGACAACACACTCCTCCTTTCCACCCCAGATTTCCCATGTCCATTCAACCAGATCCTGACTCTCTCCGCTTTCTCATCTTGCTTCCGGACAGGAGCTGCCCATTTAGTCTCATGTATCTACTTGAGCTAAGAAGCACACTCTTCATGAGTATCATTTTATGTCCCATAGTCCAGTCTAATCTTTGTCTGACGAGCTAGCCTAGGGAATGGCTTCAGCTCTGGCCAACAGAGTGTCTGGGGGCTATGTCTTCCGGGGTCCCTCCAGTCTCAGACAAACCATTAAGTCTGGTCTTTTAACTAGAGTTTGAGTTCTGCACCCCACTTTTCTCTTGCTCCGTCAGGGACTCTCTGTTGTGTTCCCTGTCAGGGTGGTCACTGGTGGTAGCCAGGCACCATCTAGTTCTTCTGGTCTCAGGCTGATGGAGCCTCTGCTTTATGTGGCCCTTTCTGTCTCCTGGGCTAATATTTTCCTAGTGTCTCTGGTGTTCTTCATTATCCTTTACTCCAGGTGGGTTGGGACCACTTGATGCATCTTAGATGGTTGCTCACAAGCTTTTAAGACCCCAGACGCCACTCACCAAACTGGGAAGCAGAACATTTTCTTAATAAACTTTGTTTTATGCCAGTTGACCTACAAGTCCCCTGAAAGCATGGTCCCCAGGCCCCCGCCCCTGCTACTCTGTCCCCCAAAGTGTTTGGTTGTATTCAGGAAACTTCCTAGCTTTTGGTTTAGTCCAGTTGTGCTGACTTTCCCCTGTAGTGTGTGTTGTCCTTCCCTTCACCTAAGATAATTCTTCTCTACTATCTAGTTAGTGAATACCCCTCTCTCCCTCCCCACCCTTGTAACCATCAAACAATGTTTTCTTCATTTAAACCTTTTCTTGTGTTCTTAAAATAGTGGTCTCATATAATATTCATCCTTTTACAGCTGACTAAATTCACGTGGCATAATGCCTTCCAGATTCCTCCATGTTATAACATGTTTCACGACTTCATCATTGTTCTTTATTGTTGTGTAGTATTCCATGGTGTGAGTATACCATAATTTGTTTATATATCCATCCGTCGATGAGCACCTAGGTTGTTTCCATTTTTGCTATCATGAACAGTGCTGCAATGAACATGGGTGTGCATATATCTATTCGTGTGATGGCTCTTATTTCTCTAGGATATATTCCAAGGGGCGGGATTGCTGGATTGTATGGTACTTCTATTTCTAGCATTTTGGGAAGCGCCAAATCGATTTCCAAAGTGGCTGTAACATTTTACATTCCCACCAACAGTGTATAAGTGTTCCAGTCTCTACACAACCTCTCCAACATTTATTATTTTGTGTTTTTTGGATTAATGCTAGCCTTGTTGGGGTGAGATGGTATCTCACTGTAGTTTTGATTTACATTTCTCTAATGGCTAATAATCATGAGCATTTCCTTATGTGTCTGTTAGCCACTTGAATGTCTTCTTTGGTGAAGTGCCTGTTCATATCCTTTGCCCATTTTTTAATTGGGTTATTTGTCTTTTTGTTGTTGAGGTTTTGCAGTATCTTGTAGATTTTAGAGATTAGACGCTGATCGGATTAGTTGTAGCCAAAAATTTTTTCCCAGTCTGTAGGTTGTCTTTTTAGTCTTTTGGTAAAGTCTTTTGATGAGCCTAAGTGTTTGATTTTTAGGAGCTCCCAGTTATCTAATTTCTCTTTGGTGTTTCTGCATTGTTACTTAGGGTTTGTATTCTGTTTATGCCACTTATTAGGGCTACGAGCGTTGTCCCTGTTTTTCCTTCCATGATCTTTATCGTTTTAGATTTTATATTTAGGTCTTTGATCCATTTTGAGTTATTTTTTGTGCATGGTGTGAGGTATGGGTCCTGTTTCAGTTTTTTGCAGGAGGATATCCAGTTACACCAGTACCATTTGCTAAAGAGACTGTCTTTTTCCCAAATAACGGACTTTGGGCCTCTGTCAAATATCAGCTGCTCATGGGTAGATGGATTTACATCTGGATTCTCAATTCTTTTCCACTGGTCTATGTATCTGTCGTTGTACCAGTACCAGGCTGTTTTGACTATTGTGGCAGTATAATAGGTTCTAAAATCAGGTAAAGTGAGGCCTCCCACTTTGTTCTTCTTCTTGAGTAATGCTTTACTTATCCAAGGCCTCTTTTCTTTCCATATGAAGTTAGTGATTTTTTCCTCCATCTCCTTAAAAAATGCCGTTGGAGTTTGGATCGGGATTGCATTGTATGTGTAGATTGCTTTAGATAGAATTGACATTTTCACAATGTTGAGTCTTCGTGTCCATGAGAAAAGTATGTTTTTCCACTTATGCAGGTCTCTTTTGGTTTCTTGTACTTTTCTTTATATAGACATTTTACGTCTCTGGTTAGATTTATTCCTAAGTATTTTATCTTCTTGGGGGCTATTGTAAATGGTATTGATTTGGTGATTTCCTCTTCAAAGTTCTCTTTGTTAGTGTAGGAGAATCCAATTACTGAGAGCTTTTATCATGAATGGGTTTCAGACTTTGTCAAATGCCTTTTATGCATTAAATGACAAGATCATGTGGTTCTTGTCTTTTGTTTTATTTACATGATGGATTACATTGATTGTTTTTCTAATGTTGACCCATCCCTGCATACCTGATATAAATCCCACTTGATTATGGTGAATTATTTTTTTGATATGCTGTTGAATTCTATTGGCTAGAATTTTGTTGAGAATTTTTGCGTCAATGTTCATGAGGGATATTGGTCCGTAATTTTCTTTTTTTTGTGGTGTCTTTACTGGTTTTGATATCAGGGTTATGCTGGCTTCATAGGATGAGTTTGAGAATATTCTATATTTTTCTATGCTCTGAAATACCTTTAGTAGTAGTGGTGTTAACTCTTCTCTGAAAGTTCGGTAAAATTCTCCAGTGACACCGTCAGGGCCAGGGCTTTTTTTTATTGGGAGATTTTTTTATTATATTTTTAATCTCTTCTTTTGTTATAGGTTTATTTAGTTGTTCTACCTCTGTTTGTGTTACTTTAGGTAGGTAGTGAGTTTCTGGAAACTTGTCCATTTCATCTAGGTTTTCAAATTTGTTAGAGTACAATTTTTCATAGTATTCTCTTATGATTCTTTTAATTTCAGTTGGGTCTGTTGTGATTATCATCCATCTCATTTCTTATTCGAGTTATTTGCTTCCTCTCCTGTTTTTCTTTTGTGAGTTTGGCCAATGGTTTATTGATTTTGTTGATCTTTTCAAAGAAACAGCTTTTGGTTTTGTTAACTCTTTCATTTGTTTTTCTATTCTCTATTTCAT